GGGGGCGGGCGGGCGGGAACGTTCCTCTTACGAGCGCAAAGCAAGTGGGGGCTCCACAGACGTCGGTGAGTTCAACGGCAGCCCGAGTCGGAGAAGGCGCTCGGCAAAGTGTACGACCCAGCGCGCCTTTCGGCTGGTCTGAAAGCGGATCGTGCACGTTGTGAGTGAAGGAGATCTCACGGGTACGAGAAAGAGAAAGAGGGAGACTCCGAGAGGGTTATGCGTTTGCCTCCATAATGATATGCCGAGAGAGAACAGCCGGCTGAGGATGGAAACGCTAGGAGATGCCTGTCCGCGATAAGTAACGTGGGGTTTTGTTTTGTTTTTAAAAACCAAACCTTTTTTCATGGGTGGGAAAAGAAAACAGGAGGCAACAAGAGGGGAGGGGGAGGCCACCATGAGGAGCAAGAGGAGGAGGCAAAACCAAAGAAAGGAGGAAAACAAACGAGGACTGGACCTGGAGCAAATAAAGCCCTAAAGACAGCCATCACACCTCAAAGAATGTGCCCATCCAAGATGGTACCTGTCCAGTGTTGGTACTGCCCCAACATCCAAGCATAAAATAGCTGAATTGGTTGGACTGAGCCAAAGAAATCAGGTTTGCAAAAGTCCGCCTGGCTTTTCTAGATTTTTTGCACCAAAATTACTACCAGGATCATTTTTCTTGGGAGAAATGCTCAACTTTACTGAAACAAAGTACAGTATATACTTCCAGAAATATAATTTGAATGTGAAATAATTCTTTAACACATAGAATGTGACATGTCATTTAAATACATGCCACCATCTTTTCTTTACCCTTAGTTAATTCTGTTAATCCATTTTTTCCTCTAAGGATGGCATTCAATTGTATTTATCTAGTACAGTACTTGTTTCTTCACTGAAAGCATCAAAAACATGCAGCAAAAATGGTGGAATAAGTTCAGTTCAAATCTGCAAAAATCAAATACAAGCACTCTGTTTTGAGCCCTCCTGGCCATTAGCGTGGCAATAGCAGGAGCTACAATAGCAACATTTCCTTTGATTTAGATAAAACAACTATATATCCACTTAGTTCTCTAACCTTGCCTGTCCATTTCCTTGTCAATAATTCACCTCTCTGTTTCTAAATCTGCGTGCAGTTTTATTGTTATCCCACTTTTTTAGCACATCCTATTTCAAATCCAGGCCTTGAGTTATTACCTTTAGTTTTCACAGATTTCTACTTTCAACCACATCTTTTGTATTCTTATCGATTCTCCAACATTCCTATGTCCAAAAGAATAATATACTGTTGCCTTGAGCCAAAGGTCTTTTGGGACACCTGTCCAGTCCCCCTCCATGCGCCCTTGTTCTTTTCTCTGTATTCTGCCATATTAGAGCCAGGGCACCCAGCCTCTATGGTGACACAATTTATCAAAATACACCTTCCTATTTCTTGTTTTATACTTCAGCTTGAGATGTGGCAGAATGAGGTATGAAAGGAGAGGCAGACAAACTAACGAGAAGTCCAGGCAGTGTCAGACCCTCTACATTTCTGTGGCAGCACCATGACAGATGGATATTTTCCCTACTATGTGCCGATGTACTGAAAAGGGAGAGCAGCAAATCCAGAAAAGGAAACCAGGATACCACCATTTAGCAGTGGCTCAGAAAAGACCCATTTGATGAGGATAGGATTGGCAACTGGCACAGCAAAATGTATGTCAGCATCGTTTTGTGCCAACTTAATAGCATTTTAACTCAGTAGTGGGGGAAAATCCCTGTTGTTCAGTGATTTCCAACTCTCTGTGACCCAACTGATACCTTTTTACCAGGATTGTCCGTCAATAACAACTTCTTTCAATTCTTGTAAACTCATGCTTGTGCCATTAATGACAGCATGTCATCAATGATGGTATCTAGCAACCTTGTGCTCTTTTGCCTTTTATTTAATCTTGGGTTTCCCCCCCTTTTTTAGTATTGAACAACACACTGGCTTTTGCACTCTCTTCTTTCACCTTCAACAAATGAATCCTTAAGTCTTCTTTCCCTTCATTAAAGTGGTATCAACATATCTGAGATTGTTTCTCCCTGGCTGACATTTCTTATATGTTGTTTATGTTAAATAAATAAGGTATCCATGTACAACCTTGGCACATTCATTTCTCAATTTTGAACCATTTAGTTCCATTTTCCATTCTGTTGCATCCTGATCATCATATGAATTCTTCAGCAGGCAGATGAGATGACCCAGTAACCCATTTTTGAAGAACTATTCACAGTTTGTTGTAGGCTACATAGTTGAAAGCCTTAGTATAATCAATTAAACAGAAATTGATACTTTTTTGGAACTCCCTTGTCTTTTCCATTGTCCATCAAATGTTAACAATGTAATCTCTTAAGCCTCTGTCTCTTCTCAATCTAGTTTGTATCTTTGGCAGTTCTTATTCCATATATTGTTGAAATCTGGATTGCAAAACTTTGATCATTATTTTACTAGCATGTGAGATAAGTCCACTTGTTCAGTAGTCCAAGCATTGTTTAATACAACTCTCTTTTAGTATTGGAATATAAGTAGATCTTTTCCTGTTCCATGGCCATTGTTGTGTTTTCCATATGTGGTCTACCAGCAGTAGAATATCATTTTGATACAGGTAGAAGATTCTGATGAGGAAGAGTTTCTTTATGACATGTAAAAATAACCTCACTCCCTGCAAACATTTATAGTATAATTTGTTTGTTTGTTTGTTTGCCTTCAAGTCAGTCTTGACTCCTGCCAATTGCCTAGACGAGTCCATGCAGTTTTCTTGGCAACATTTGCAGAAGTGGTTTGTCATTGCCTTCTTCTTAGGGCTGAGAGAGAGTGACTGTCTCAGAGTCACCCAGCTGGCTTCATGCCTAAGGTAGAACAAGAACTCATGGTCTCCCAGTTTCTAGTCCAGTGCCTTTAACCACTATATGAAACTGGCTCTCAGTATCTGAATTTACACTACATTATTTCGGGATCATTATCTCAACTATGGTTCCATCTCCCACAAAAGCTTTTATACTATTTTTTTTACTATGTATAGATCCTAATGTTCCTGTGGAAACTTGAAGCCTTTTATGTAGGCTCTACAGTCTCTTGTTATTTGTATAACAGTGTATGAATTGTATTAATTCCATATTTAGTTTGAAGGAAATGGCACATGATGCAGTCTTAACATTTTAGTCAATTATTTCACACCACAGAAATAAATATATTAAGAAATAAAGAAGCTGTTTCCACACTAGTGATTTAGATCATCTTTTAGCATCATTGAACCATCACTTTGGTGTGATACAGAGGCTGTGAAATCACCTTTTCAGTACCGATGAAAAGGGGTGTGGAGCTCTAGTGTGTAGATGCCAGATCAGTTTAAATAAACCATGCCTACTAAATCTATCCTCCTTTGGCATCCATAGAGATATACTCCAGTAATGCCAGCTTTTCACACCAAATAAAAAAAGTTCTGTGCCTCCACCATTATGACTTTCAGCTACTTAGTCTATAAGTGAGGGATAAAAATAAAGTATCACCTCATGTGGTGTTCCCATGATGCACTAAATGCAGCTGGCACAAGATAGATAGACACCCCCCCAACACACTTCACATAAAAAGATCTTACACACAGTATTCTTAGGAAATTATATGCTATTTGGATTAAAGAATTAGATAAAACATGTATTATTTAGAGGAAAGAAAGAAACTGATGTAAAAATAATTTGATTTTCATCAAATTTTTGATCAAATTTCTAATAACTGGCATTGGCAGTGACTACAGTGGGAGAGTTTAGGACCAAAAGAGTAATAACCACAGACACTAATTGGGTCTTCTGGTAGTGTCAGTGATACTATTGGTGCTGTCTATGGACTATGTATAAAAAAGATAGGGACAATCCAGGTGATTTCACTATTGGTGCATTATTCTTTCTTGCTGAACCAGATCAGTCCCTTAGTTTACAAGGGAGCTGAAAACAATCAAAAAGTGGGATGATAGCTGAAGTGCAAATGGAGAAATTCTTAAGACACATCAGATCAAACAGGGATTAAGTCCCAATTGAAGTCCTTCTCCATGGTAATGGGAGCAAGAAAGAAGGCTTGTCTGCCTTCATATAGCCACACAAAGCAGGCCAGCATTGTTTCTTCTGTATGGTAATACATCTCAATCACCCAGATGTGGTGAGAAGGGAGCCACAGCAATTGATGGCTCACTATGAGCAGCATACATAATTCTCTGCAGATAAAATAATCAAATCCACATCAGTGGGACTCCAGTATTGGAGTCTGTTTGTAGAGATGTAACCTCAGCAACTACTTGTCCTCTTATTTTGTTTTTGTTTTTTCCCAGATTGTTGACCCAAAGTATGTGGACAGGTGAGGAAAACTGAGAGTTACTATCTACTTGTCTGCCCCTTTCTACTTCTGGATGATTATCAGTCAGGAAGGAATTGACCCCATGGTTAAGGGAGTTGATAGTTTATTTATTTATTTATATTTCAAATGTAGACACTGCCCATCTCACAAGGAAGTGCTTTCTTGCTTCCTGTAAATGCCTAAAAGAAGCAGTTAAAAGGTATGTATTGAAGAAACTCTCCCCTAGCTTGGGAGGTCTGTGCAATTCTAAACCAGACTTAAATATTAAGTTTCTGAGAAGAGTGATAGTGCACCAGATGCATCTGAATGATATTGATTATCTGAGTCCATTTCAAACAGGCATTCTGCTGCGATATGATGCTAACTTTAAGTACACCACAGACTGGATGGGGCAGAATATGTTCCTGCTTGTTCTCCTGGACATCTCAGTTGCCTTCATCACCTTCTGGGCTTAGGCTTGGGACATTGGTTTGAAGTGGTACTGGTCCTTGTTGGACCATATCCAAAAAGTGATGCTGGGGGACTGTGTTTGACAC